AGACGTTGGAGACAGAGAGGAAGAACAGCAACAACAACAACAACAACAACAAGACAACAAACGCCGTGTCTTGTGAGCAGAACAATCAATAAATTTGAACACGTGAGCGGGACGCGAATGCAGACGGCAACAACAACAGCAACAGCAACAACAACAACAACGAGTACAACGCGATAAGTGATCGCCGTGTCGACTGATTGCCCACAAGCAACAACAACAACAGCAACAACGAAAATTCATATTTTTTGCAGAGCAATTACGGGCTGCAGTTGGAGGGGTGGGTGTTCCATGGAACAGGAAGTTATTAGTTGCCATGAATATTTTCGACTCTAATTTGATGGATATTAGGCGAGACTTAATAGAAAATGGATTGCTATGAGAGTATAGACAAATGAGTTATATTAGGGATTAGGGGATTGGGTAGGCCAAAATATTGTAAGATTTAGAAATGGTTTACTTTCTTTGTAAAAAATAATTTAAACTGAATCTTAAATCAGTTCAATAATAATGTTAGATCTCTAGTTTAGCATGCCTGCACTAAGCTCAAAAGAATTCTATATATTAACCAAAAACTAATAATGACTGTATGAGCTATAGCCTTAGGGCATTTGCCACACCTCTAAATGAGTCATGTTTAGCTACAGAGCTACAAGTGTATTGGAGTAGATCAATACAGTCCATAATTACGGCAAAAAAATAGAAATAAAAAAATATATATTATATACATATTTTATATATTATATATCTACAATATACAACACATTAATCATACATTAATTTATTATATTTAATGTAACTGGTTATGTCTCCTATCATGCATTTAATTTATGTTATCGACTATAATATATATTTATTTATATTTATCAAAGTGAGAAAAAGCTTTACGACTTTTTTTCCTTAAAAAAAAAAATTGTTGTTAATTTTCAAGCTAAGTTTCATTAAAAACTTTAATTTTATTACTGATCATAATTATTGCTTTCGAAAGTTTCAAAAGCCTTGGCTTCGCTGGATAAGTATTTTGTCAATTCTCAATTTTTTTGTATCAAATTTTATGATGTCAAACGTTGAAATTTCACTTTTATATAAGAGCAAACAAGGTGTGTCTAGACTAACTGCAGAGCTATCAAAGAGTAATAAAATATTATATTGAATAACATAAGAAGTTTAATATTTGCTAGAAACGAAATAATTCACAGCAAAATATAATAATAATAAAAATTATTAATAATAATAATATTTAAACTATATAATACTTAAAACTATTATATATACTTTAACTGGTACAGAAGATAATGCTATCAAATATATCAACAATAGTTTTAATGAGCACAAAAATGTTTTAGTATAAAAGAGAGTTATATTGTGCAGCCAATGCGAAAGTAACGTGATCAATCGTAAGGCATTTAACGATATTCAAATCCTCATACCCTTACCTTACACTGCACCAAAAAGTAGACTATGCCAAAAGTCAATAACAAATGTCAATACCGCCAACAAATAATCTATAGAGTTTATTATGTGCAAGGTGGACATTAATTTCGCTACTTGGCAACTCAATAACAATCGCCAAAATTAAACCAATTGCTCGTGTCGCCATCGTCCATTGTGATTGGGGATCTGCGTGCCGTTGATGGGCCGTACAGATTGTAACGCCTCGAGCCGGCGATTACCTCACGATAACGACGCACCGGAGTGCGAGCCATGTGCAGCTCCATTAGGTCCCATTCGTTAATGTCCTGGAAGACCGAGCGAATCATGTGCATGCGACCCAATAGCTCCGTCTCCCGCAAGCCCTCGTATTTGCGGCCCGTTCGTGACCGGAATGCCTTGTAGACTTCGCTCTGTTTCTTCGTCTCCGTCGCCGTCTGCAGCTCCTTGCGATAGAGCGCTCGTATGCCCCTTCCCAGGTGACGTATGTGCTCAAAGTCGCGTATATTGAGCGCCACCAGGGCAATGGCGTCCAGATTGAGCAACTTGTGTCCATCGATATAGTTCTCCCTGAAGGTTTCCTATCGAATTCACTCAAAATGCCGATTGTAAGATTGTAAAATTGATTCCAGATGCCTGCAAAACCCACCTCGTATTCCGGATAGCCAAAGTCGCGCAGCCATTGGGCAACATCATTGATGCTCCACTTGAACACCTCAGTGCGTGCCTGGGCATCCACGACAGCGGCACACAGACTGAACAGCGAATCGGGCGTAGCTCGAAACGAGAGCGGCACATCATGCTTATCGTACTCCACATCGGGATACATATAGTCCGGATAACGAAAGCTAAATTCCTGCTCATCCTCGCCATCCGGCAGTTCACTGATGCTGAGACTTTTTGTGTCCAAATTGCGACGCAATTTCGGCGTTGAGATTGCCGACGCGCATGTGGAGGACGACATAGACGACGATGACGATGAGGAGAACGACTCCATTCGAGCGGATGACACGTACTGTGTCCTACCTAACCCAAATTCAGTTGCCCTAAGTCAATTTGATTGCGGTTTTGCATACCCCAAGCGTATCCAGTTCGTGTTTGTTTACATTGCTTGGTTGCGTTTGTCTATACTCTATGGCGGAGGGCATAACTACTACGTTGTGCAAATTGTGACGCTTAACATAATAAGTATCTGTGTGGTGTGCGTCAATATAAAAATAATTGCTTTACTTTTGTGTGTGCAAATTATTATTATTATTATTTTTTTTTTTTTCTTAAAAAAAACATATAAAAGAAATGAAATTTATTTAGAGTGAGAATGATTTATAGTATATAAAAAAAAAAAATACTAAATTATGTTCTATGTAGATAAAATTAGTTATTTTTTTTTATAAATAAATTTTTATAGATATAACAGATAATAATGAACGAGTCTTACTCTTAAATTTACGTTTATTGAAAACTCGAATTATAAAGTTTAAATAAAATGTTATATTTAAAAATATTATTTAGTATTATAGCTGCACCATTATAATATTTATTAAATGTATAATAAAATCGAACATACAAAATTGAGTTGCTTTTTTTTCATGTATTTTACAGTAATTTCTTTAAAAATATTTAAATTAAAGCTCTACGATTTGTATTTTAATAAGAATATTTTTATATTATATTACATATCAACATTTAAAATTAATAAAATATTGAATTTATATTGCTGCATATTATATAAATGTTTTATAAAATATCGAAATAATGTTTACAAGTATTTTAAATAAATGAACAAATTTAGATTTATTTTTTATAAATTTATTTACCTAACTTATTTTATAACTTGCTTTTAGAGTATTTGATATTTGCTTTCGCTGTTAAAGTGTCCTTATTTTGTTTTCGTTTCCCGTGATTGCATTTGCATATTTGTTAGTTTCTTTTTCGGGGTCAATTGGGTGCTATGGGGGCGCCAAGGGGGCGGTACCGACACGCCAGGGAATCAGATTCAAATTCTGATTAACAAAACAAATTTTGCCTCACAAAAAACTACACTTTCATATAATATTTTCTACCAATTTTAGGCAAAACATTCGGGCAGGTCACAAAAACTTGACTTCGCCATTCTTTAATGGGTCACAGGCATTTGTTGTTGCTGCGCAAACATGCAATGCATTTCAATAAAATTGCTATTGTCTGGCTCTATATAGACGATTTATGAGGGTCTATAGAAACCAGTGCGATTTATGAGTCGACAATTCGCTCGGCACCATTACCCACTTTATTAACAGGCATTAGCGCAAAGATCACTCAATTTCCGACAATTTGCATACACACATACAAACATACATATATATGTGCATATCTGGTATTCGTGCGCCCATAGGCTGGAAAGAGATAAAACATTTGCTGGCGATAGCGTCTGTGGCTCCGCCCACTGGAATGGATCGCTCGCATTGGCCAACAGCTGCCATGCTGTCGTACCATAAGTTGTAGGCGCTAGGGAGCTCAGTGTTAGTGTGTGCATGTGTATGTGTGTGTGTGTGTACATATTTTCCATGTGCAACATATGGAGAAATCGGTAAACAAATCTCAATAGCGATCAACGAACGATCTCTGGCTGAGCTAATGACACAGCGTTCTGTTTGTATGTAAACAACCGAAGCGTGTAGAGCAAGTTTCCCACATGAACCACAGTGGGACAAACACGAGAAGGACTAAATATACATAGAATATATATGTATATATGTATGGAAATATTTTTAGAAATGAAATGAATATATATAATATGAAATGTCAATGTCAAGCCTTTACTCTATTTTATTTATTTATCTTTACAATTTATCCCACATAATGAAGTTAGCTTATTAATTTTTAAAGGAAATTTACACTAATATTAATGCTTGACAGTAACAATTAAAGCTCAGATAAACAATATATTTTCTAAAATAAAAAGTAAATACAAATAAAATAAAAGTAAAAAGTAAATACAAAAAAAATTAAAAAATTTAGTTTTTGAGTTAACAGTTCGTAAAAAGATTTTTTACTTGTTTAAATTTGTATACATTATACATTTTTATACTTTACACCTGCATTTCATATATTTATACAATATATTATCATATGTATTTTTATTCTAAAATATCTTGTTATATGTTTAACGTTTAAATTCAATAGTAGACTATTCTATTAAAAACTTCTATAGGCCAACTGGCCTAACTAACATGCAGAATAAGAAAAGTCAATATTATTAAAAAATATCTAACAGAATAAATACTAGTAGAAATCCATATATCATATTATATTTATGATATTTATATCCATATGTCATATTATATTTATGATTTTATATTTATTATAACATATAAGCAACACCTATTTGCATATATTAATTCAGTATCCTTAATCTATGTTAGATTCTCACATTTTGTTCCCTTTTTGTCACATCGTGACCCACTGTATCGATCAGCGAGATTTACACTTTAACACAATACTTATTTGTATGGGCCCAGCGGCAATCGATGATCGCTGCTTGGATTTGCTCCCGGCCCGGTCGCATTCAGTTCCGTGTGGGTTGTCTTACCAAACGGTTGAAATCGACCACGAATCCCTCGCTCAGCATAAACATTTTGTACGAAAAGGCCGTGGCTTTTAAGCGACGGTGTTTTTTATTGGCTTTGTGACATGATCGTATAATTCTAGCGCTTAGCTGCAGTGTGACAATGTTACTACACGAAAGTGCCAGCATGGAACAAAGTGTGCCCGAGAATCTCAGCACAAATGTGTTTAACGACTGTGAAATCAAGCTGCAAACACCATGTCACGATCCCATGGATTGTGAGAACGGTTCCAGCTCCAACAGTGATTTGCCCACCAAAGATTCAGTGTCGAGTCCCAGTGCCACAGCCCCCAATGCATCCCTCACCAGCAGCAATGGCAGCTCCAATAGCACCACAAACACAACCAAAGTGAAACTTAGTTTCAGTGTCGATCGTTTGTTAAGCGCCGAGCGCGTCGATCCTGTGCCCATGCCAAACCCAACATCCGCGCGACAATGCTGTGATGGCAGTGTCTATGCCTGCTGCACATTCTCCAGCTGCTCTGGACAGCAGACAGCGGAGGCTGCCAAGCACGCTTCAATGTCTGCGCCACAAGGCCTAACAAATCCACATAACTATAACTATGCGGGATTGGATAAGTTCTATTCGGGCATATATATGGATTACAAGTCCGTGCTGAGACCGACGCCCATTCGAGCAGCTGATCATGGTAAGAATACTATTTAATCTATAAGGCAAACGATCTAAAACTGTAGAAGATGTAAATTGGAGTATTTACCATGTCCCTAATGGGTATAGATTAATATTTAAAATATAACAATATACTTCTATCGAGGATTATCTACTATCAAGTGACTAGAAGCGATCGCATTGAAAACGAAAAAAATGAAAATTTTTAAAGACAAACAGCAAGGTGCACATTGCACAGAACAAATATACTCTATTCGGTTATTAAGTTTGAAAATAACTTAAGCTTATGTGATAACAAGCTCATTTTGGAATAACAAAAGATCTGATATGTATATCAATAGAAGCAAAAATCAAGTTTATTACTCGATGATCGGAAATACAAAATTTATAATACAAATATCTAGATGTCCAGTACTAAACACGCTGATCTGGTTTTAATATCTATACAAATATCGAAGAGAACAAAAAAACTATATTATATATGATTTTTATATGATAAGGAGAATAAAATCTACGTATATTCTAAATGTATATAAGCTCTAGGCAGTCTGAAAAAAAATGCATTGCTTAAGTGCCAGGATGTGATATCTGCTATTATCAACCAAAACAAAACATAATTTATAAATTTAAAAAATATATATACATACATACATATACCTATAATTCTCACATTAAACATATTAGCAAAGAAACGCCCATCTATATATTCTTTATTTATACAACTGCCATAAATATCTACATTTTAAAGTTCAATATCCTCTCATTAGCTTTGGCAAAGCAATTCCCGGTGTACGATCAAAAGACGAACCGTTTAAGAACTTTTCCCATTTGCCAATCAAATTCCGACACATTCTTCGGCTATTCAAAACCATTATAAACTGCAAATGCAAACGCATTTTGTAAAAATTTACATTTCATGGAATAGGAGATGACTTGAAACACTTTGGGCTTCCAACCAAATGGTCGGGTCATAAATCGTGCATTTTTATTGGAATTATTAGTTGATCTGGGGCCATATTGTGCAATATTATTGTTGCCAACTGTTTGTGGCTTGCTCTTGACGAAAACAATTCGTTTGTTGAAATCGACAAATAGATATCGGCTCGTCGAATCGAATCGTATTTACGTTACTTCCTGCTGTTTTTGTATATCTGGGGACGACTCATGGACTGTCTGCCCGCCCGCCAAGCAGCCTGTGCTACTTTGATCTTGTTTATATGAAAAATAGTGAGAAATATATTTTGTGTATTGTGGTGCATTGAATTGTTTAGCTGGTGCCCTTTCTTTTTTTTTTTTTTTTTTGTGGGCCCCTCAATTTAGGCCTGGCTCTCTTTTGTTTAATATACAATTCTTATCAAGAGGGTGTTAAATGGGCTGAGTATCTCAATTGCTGAAGGTTGCGCCCGGAAGTGTGTCTTACACAATGTCATCGAACCGAATATTGCCACAGATTGTGAAGAAAAGGATGCCGTAAAAAATCAATTAAATGAGTACTAAATCATTTACTATACAATATCAATGAACGCTGATCATTTAGACTTTTTATATCATTTATAAAAACAAAAATCAGAATTCAAATATTACTATAGTACTACTAATCAATAATAATATTAATATTAAAATTCTTAACAAAAGCAATGGTAAATCTACTGGGCTTTATAGCTATTATTTTATTTATTTTATCAAGGGTCAAAAATCTAAACTTACTTGATATTTTAAATGCTCATTGGCTAATTTAACTGTTTTCGAATTGAGAAAAATCAGATCATCTAAAACAGGATAGATAAAAATAAATACCAATGAGAGAATGCTTGTCGAGTACATCATATCATTTATTATTATCCGCCTTATAGAATTTGGTATCCAAATAACAAAATCTCTATATTTGCTTATATTTATATTCATTTAGCAGAAACCCTAGACCAAATCTAGTAAATCTACTTCTTCAATATGACATAACCCTTTATTAAAATACTTGACGTGCTATTTATGGGTCTAATCATAACTTGTCAAGCCATAGGTATTCTGCTTAGAGAGCAGCTGTAGAGAGATAAATAATTATGTATATCAACATGGACGAACTTAGATGGCAAGCGCATTTATAATTTTAAATTCTAATTAAATTTGCAACATAGAAGTCTTGAAATTTCATCTCTGATTTTAATAGTTTTGTAAAAGTTTGTACAAGAGATAGAAGGAGATGTGTCAAGATTCCATAAGGCGTATATTGATCATTAAAGAGAGCTAAATCAATATGGCCATGCTCGTTTGTCTGTCTGTTATAATTGATAAACAGATTTAGAATATTACTACTACTTTTAGATACT